GTTGCTGGTGGTGTGGAGTGAGGTGAGCGAGCCAGGGACTGCGGGTCCATCTGGGCAGCGCTCTGCTCATGAGGGCTTCTGTTAAAACAGGATTAAGCCCAACCTATTCCAGTTGTAAATTGCATTCTCCCAGCAGATCTTCTTGTTGCCTCAACACTCCTGGAAGTACCAGGTACCTGTATGCTCCAACTAGTGTCTCCGGACTCTGGGGAATTTAAATAGACCCTTCCTAGTGCCATGTTCACATTTCTCTGTCATAGTGTTTTGCATGTTCACCCACCATCATAGCTGAAGCAGCTTTTTGGTAAAAAAGATCAGCATTGGTAAAGTCCAAAGGGGCTATAGGGAGTTATTGTCATATTTAATGCTAAAACCTTTTGCAACAGCAGCTCTTGGACACTTCACGTTGTTGCTGCTGGATCTCTTTTGTTCTGGTCTTTCACCTTTTTCACTGGCTAAGTCTGCAGGAGGATACTGACTATTGTGCTTTTGCATTTTGCATCAAATATTGGAATTCTGAAGTCTTGCTCTTCCTCCAGATTTTGAAGTTGTCCTGGTACTCTCCAGGAAGGGTTGGGAGATAATAAACAGACTGTCTGCAGAGACTGAAACAGTTCTGTTCACTGATGGCACGAATTTTGATTTGATAAGTATTTTGACCCTTTGAAGTGTTTGTGGAGTTTCCCTGAGGATTTGCTGATCCTTTCAGTTGAAAATTATCTGCTGCTTTATATATATTGAAGACATATTTTTTTTAATAATCTTGTAAATACTTTTATGCCTCTGATTTTCAGTAATAAAAATAAAAACTTTAAATATTCATATTTCCTCTGTGGTTCCCTCTCCTGGTACATCCTGTACATTTTAGAAGAGATACTGATCTCATGCTTTCTATTCCTATGTACAGAGGACCAACAGTAGTCTACTGGAAAAATACTGAGTTGAGTTACCAGCAGCCCTGGTCAATCAGGCTCATATTTCCTGAGAATGAATGACAGTAGAATTACACTGTATTTCAGATTCTATGGCACTCAGTGTACAGTAGCAAAGTTTATAAAATTAATGGGATATATCATAAAACAGCGATGGACTTTTACAGTGCTTTAATACACTTTTCTGATCCAGATCCTCACTTCAAATGTCAATTACATAATACTAGTTATAACACCAGTAATAATTATATAGAAATAAGTTCCAAAGTTCTATTAATATTTTACAGAAATTTTTAATGGTTTTTAAGTAGTATAAACAATATTGTTTTAGACACAATGATTTGAGATACATTAAAATCGTGCCCTGTAAACTGAAATTATTTTAGTACTGGTCTGTAACTTTAAACAAGTTTAAGTAATGTGGCTTTTCCTTCCTTCCTGAAGTGTATAGAAGGAATTTTGTTTCTGACTCTGATGTCAGCACATGACTGATACTTAGCCCAGGTTGTAGTCAGTATCAGCATAGGAAAATGTGAAAATACAGTGGCAAAGTAAATTACAAAAAGAAAGCAAGATAAAGCAATGCAGCTAATAGAAAGGATGAGTGTGATACCTGGGCCCCCTTTGCTGTCCTCTACTAGTGGTGGTATGGGTCTGTCTCTTTCTGAAGGCTGCATTTGTCAGCTTACAAGGTATTTGGGACATCAAAACCATTTTGGAGGATTAACTGAATGAAAATAATGTACAAGAAGTTTTCAGTGCTTTACAGATTTTGCTTTGGTTGTGACAAGTGACGTGCACATAAGTTTGTGTAGCTCACAAACAGAGCCTTAAGCCGCCTTTTGAAAATCCTCCAGACGCCCTGATCTTTCTTCACGTTCAGATTGCTGCTCTAGTTTCTTGACCTGAGTAATGGATGCCCTTGGAAGAAAAGCTGTAGGAATTTGTGATGTTATATATAGTTTTGCTAAAACTTGGAGTGGAAATAAAACCTTTCAGCCAAACCCCAGGCTTGCATCTCAAAACTGCAGGAAGACAGCCCATAACTTCATAACTGACGAGTTAGTAGATAGCCAGCATTGGCTTTATGACTGAATAGTAAATATGTACCTAGCATTGACTTTTTTACCTTTGGAGAATTTTTTGGTGATCCCAATAATAATATTGGTGAAGAGCTTGAAAAATGTCTGAGTTGAGAGCACTAGATGTGTTGTCTAATGCACGGACAGAAATCAATATTTTACTATGCTTTGTTATTAAGATCTGCTTGTTGAAATGAGGTAGTCATTTTTGACCTAGAGCACCCATTTGAAACTAAACCAACAGATATCTTCATTATTTTGCAAATTTTCCAGAAATATGTTGATGCCTTTTTTTTTTTTCTAACTAGCTATCACAACTGAAAACAACTAAAGCTGCATTAAATAGCACGTAGATGCAACATAGGTGTTTCTTTCTGCTATTCTTGCATTAAGAGTAAAGAATGCAAGTTTACAGTTTTTAAACCATCTTAAGCAAGAAGAATCTTCCACTCATGGTAAAACGCATTGCTGTGTGCAGAAAACCTCTGGATAGCCATGCTTGGAAATTTTTCTGGATAAGAAAACTCAGTACATTAAAATGTTCTGACAGGTTGTGTTGATATCAGCAGATATCGTGGTAGGGTGCAAGTAGGGACTTTCTTAAGTTTTCTGCCAAGTTTGGTTGATGCCTTGCTGCAGGAACAGCTCAATGTTTCCACTTGGAGATTTATTGAGAAATTTAATAGAAAAAAAAGTGGGCTTTTGCTAGTTGCACCATAACATGGTAACTTTTCAAAACCTTGAAATATTTCACTTTTTTTTTTGAAAATTTTTTTACCAGTAGTGTTTTGTATAATTTCTTTTAATCCGGGTGATTTGGAAACAAGCTAAAACATTTTCATCTAGAAGTCAGCAGTTAGACAGGACTTGGGCCAGTGTGTCCCAGTGATAGTGCCTCTTTCTTGGGTCAATAACCAGTCTGTAGGTGTAAGCTGTTCAGTCTGCAGATAGGAGGTTTCCAGATGTGTCTGCAGTACTCACCTTGATATTATTTTCTGTAATATCTGACGCTTTTATGTCACCATTTTGAAAAATTCTGACCCACGGCAGATTGAAGTGCAGGCAGCCTGTAAGCAAAGTGGGTTTTTTCTCTTCACTTTTGTTTTCATCAAATGTAAAAAGCACTCTAATCTTTGTAAGATTGCTCTTAAAATGAGATATTCAGTTCTCGTAACACTTGTGTTCTGTTTCTGCCATACAAATATCATACAGAAGTTGGATTGCATGCATCTTTGCAGTCATTTTATTATGTCATTGATTTTGTCTGCAGCTATGAATATTAGAAACATTTTTCTCTTTTGGAGTTCTGGGCAATCATTTGTATCAGAAGACTTCTATGTGTCCCAGCCTCTTGGACCTTTATGGTCAGCCAGGGGAGCCTCATCTGATCTCTTTCCTTTTGTTCCACAAAGTTCTTCCTCCCCTCAGCACTCAGATAAGCTTAGTCAATACAAGGCTCTATGGTTTGGGAAAAAGAAAATCTATAGCATGCCTTTGGGTATGAGTATGAGGTACTTCAGAAACAGGATGCTATGAGTCTGCCTAATAGTAGGTAAAATTCAGGGTTTATTTTTGGTGGCACTTGAGTGAGTTCCAGCAGTGCCTTCAACTCAAAGCTAGGCAGCCAAAGATGTTGCATGGTTTAAAGCCATGACATTTAAGTAGAACACAAACGTGCTCTGTATTCGTAGCCTTAATTCTGCTTTTAAAGTTTAATGACTGGTATTTATTTTGTGTGTGTGGCAGAAATCTCAATATAATGTGTTAATACAGCTAGTCAGGAAATTAATTTAATGGAGTCTTCATTTAATTATATTGGTTAAACTTCTGTTATAGATACATGACCTTTTGAAGATGAACTTTTAATACAATTGAAGACTTCTGTCATGATGAACTAAAGATGAGGTTTCTTGGTTTTTTGCTTTGTTTTGCTTTTTCATAACATGGGTCACATTTTAACTCAGGAAGAATACCTGATTCTCATGGTTGTGCAAGTGCTGATGACTGTAATGGCTGCTTATGTGTAAAACTAAAATTAAATTTTAATTTATATATGTGTGTGTGTGTTTAATGCTGTTTACAACTTGAAAATAAGGAAGACATTACAGTACCTAATAAGTGCATTTATATCTAACGTTCATGCTAATAATATGCTGGTCTAATATGTTATTACTGACCTAGGTGCTCTGGAAAGTTTTCTAGCTCTTCTTTAATTTCTAGGGGTTTTCTGCATATTGCTGCTGGAAATTTCAAGGGGAAAAAAACCACCTTTTTGCATTGAAACTTGAGCAGACTTTTCAGCCTGAAGCCCAACCAGCATTAGTTTCTAGTGGGGATTTAGCAATAAATGTGCTTTTGTCTCCTCTCAGCACAAAAGCTGAGATTAATTTTGCTGTGAAGTGTCTTTAGCTCTTAATTAAAACTGAAGTTATTCATCCTGGTAAGAGTGCTTGGACAGACAATGCCTAAATACCCTACTCTGTTGAATTCTCAGGTATTAAGAAGGATATACTGTATGTAGTACTTTTAACTGAAAGTCTGTGCTGTTTATATGCAGTATTTTAAGTTAATAAACAATTGTGCTGCAGAAGGAAGAGTTAGAATTGGAGACTGTTGTGTTAAATACAGGGAAAACAGCTGAAGTACTAGAATATTTTCTCATACCTAGTGGTTTTGGTAATGTCTTTAAATGTGATATCGTACAGTGAAACACGGGTATAATGATATGTGTAATGGAGCTGTTAATGAGCTAAAAGACTGTATTGTTGCAAGAAGCGATTTTACACGCCTAAGCAGAACTGGACTGAAGTAGTTCGCAGTCCTGTGTGACGTCATGGAAGGCTGCTGGAGCATGTTTTCTTACATAGATACTAAGTACATTTTGAATTAATTATCTTCTCTATATCTACTACCTGTTATATTTTATCAGCATTGCCTTATAGATGCTCATGGTTATTTTCTGTATTTCTCTCCCCCCCCACCTTAGTGGAATCGGTCGAAATTGGCCATGGGCCTCTGGTGGCAGCAGCATTTTGGCAGAATTTGGGACTTTGCATCTGGAGTTCATACACTTGAGCCACCTGTCTGGAAACCCTGTCTTTGCTGAAAAGGTTAGACTATTCAGTCAAATCCTGTTGTAAAAGATAAATCACATGTTGGGAGACTAATATCTCCGGGGAGAGATTTGGATTTTCCTCAGTTGTAAGCATTTGTCACAGGGGGTAGATACTTTCTAGGTGTTTCCCTAGTCACCTGGGGGTTTTTTTGTGTTATCAAGTCAAAAATCTGTTCCAAAACCAGTGTGATGCATCTTGTTGTATATAGCACTTACTCAGCCCCATAAAACATACCATTTCTGCTTATGTTCTAAATTAGTATCTCATTAAACAGTCAGACCGTAGAGCTTTCTTCTGTACTTCACCTGAATGTGGTGATAACAAAAATTGACATTATATTGGGGATAATATGTGATGCCTATGGAAGGCAAAGCACCATGGCTACCTTGTGTGATTACAGCAAGTTTAGTCTTTAAAATACTGTATAATATCACTATTATCAGTAAGGTTTATATTATTTTATAATATTTTATAATATTGTTATTAGCAGTGGTGTCAGAAAGCCCTTCTATTGCACTGACCTTTAAGAAATGTGCTTTGAACTTTCTTTGGGGAAAGAAAAAATAACCCAAAAAACATCCTTTGACAAAGCAGTTGTTGTACTTACTAATTCTTCCAAAACTTGATAACATTGTCTTCTGGATACTTTTTATTTACGTAAACCATGGAAAGTAACTCTTCTTGTCCTTCCCCCAATTCCCACCTAAGCAATTTTACTTTGCTTTTTGGTGCATATATAGTCAGCAAGTCATGTTCTTCCTATTACACTGTATCATTTATCTTCAGTGTTTTTTTCCTATTTAAAACTTTCAATTGCTTTGGTTTTGTATTCTTAATCCAACTGCCCTATGTTAGCTAAAACTGACATTATCTATCTAATAAGCTAATTAATAATGAGACTCAATGTTTAGCAGTAGGTTTAAAAGCAGTGGTTAAATCTAAAATGACTACTAGTTGTACCAAACTTAAAGGACTGAATGACATTGCTTCAATACCATTGTCAGCACTGAAATAGATTTTGTGAAACAAACTCCTAGCAATTTGAATGTATTTATGGATTAATTTAAAGACAGAGTTTCTCTTAAACAAATCTGAACTGGGGCAGGGGCGGGAAGGGGGAGGGGGGCAGTACCCAGAACCAGCCAGAAACGAACTTACTGGGTAACTTAATTATCTTCTGATATTTGTGGTAATTTAATATGTAACATCTGTTCTATTAAGAGACAGTTAAAGTGTGTTCAAAGTGTGTATGTTAAAATCCTAGCCTATGGTTCTCTTCTGAAGTGGCATCGAGCTATAGCTGCAAGGTATCTGTTTATGTAAGCTGCTCTTAAAACCCTTCAGAGACTGTGACTCCACAGCCCTCTGAGGCAAGCCATTCCAGGGCTGGTACGCTTGATAAAGAAGAAGAAACATTAAAATAAGCTTTGCATGGAAGTATTCGTAGAAGAATTCATTAAATAAAGTCTAGGACTCATTGCAGTCTGCATTTGGGCAATGGCTGTTAGCAATGTAGTGTCAAGATGCAGAAGGCAGTTTGTGTACCACAGAAATCCTTCTGCGGTTTGGTGTAAGCTAATTTGTCTTCTTTCTTAGCAGCTAGTTCACTTGATCTCTAGGCATTCAGGGTGTTATAATGAAGCTGTCAGTACATTTTTGTTACAATTTCTGGTCTGTGGTGCTCAGGATCTTCATTCTCCCAAGTTGCTACATTTGCTTTTTCTGTGAATGTTGAAATTCAGTATAAATTATTTCATGTGCTCTGCAGTGGATTGTGCTGCTGGTTGACTCCAGCTGCAGAGCATCTGGACTGTAATTGTTTCCCCGGGCTTCTCATTTGTAGCGAGCTGCTTAACAGTGCCGGCGGAGCGCTCGGGGCTGCCTGGGTTCCTGCTGGGCAAGCTGGTTGTACAGAGCTCACTTCCAGCAGTGCTCTCCTTTCCAGGCAAAACTGCTTGACAATTCACTTCTGCATCCGAACTAGGTGATAGGCTTAATATTTAATACCATTTCTGATTTGGGTATGTGAGGCTGAAGTAGCTGAGCTTAGTTAAGGCAACAGTATCCTGTGGAGAGGCAAGATACTCTGTATGGCAAATCCTGAACTTCGGAGCTTGCTTCTGTTGTGTTGTTTCATTACTGACACTTGACACAGAAACTCCAGAGGTTTTGAGGAGCTCATTTACATTATGATATCAGCTTAGAGGATCTTTTTAAATGGTAATACGATTGCAAAGAGGTATTAGGTATACCCCTTGAATAAGGCTATTTTTTTATTTTTAGGGATATTTGCATTTTAACACTTTTGTACCAACACTGTTTTATTTTGTGGGGAAAATGGATTAGTGCTCAGTGTTTTCTACCCTTCCAACAGGTAATGAATATTCGAAAAGTTCTAAATCGACTGGATAAACCAGAGGGCCTTTACCCCAACTATCTGAATCCCAGCAGTGGCCAATGGGGCCAGCGTAAGTAGAACACTTCTTTGGTACTATGACCTGTCTATCGGTGTGCTGTTTGCAGTCCTTAACTTCTTTCAATCAATGTTATGTGGTTTATATATAAAGAATTTTTATAAAATGTAAAAACTCACATTATATCTGAGGTTCTCTACAATGTAAAAAACACTACAAATACAAAAATAATTTTACTTGCTGTATTTTAATATACTTCTCTTTGATCTCTCAGTACAGCTTGTACAAGGGGGGAGATGTCTGACTTTGTATGATTTTGGAAAGGAATTTGTAGACTACAAAATTCTTTTATTAGAAAGTCTAAAGTGCTCTCTAAATTAGCTGCTTAAGGAAACATCGACTTGTCTGAATCAAATTACATATTTTTAGAGTGGTGTAGCTCCACTGAAGATAAAAAAAAATAAATAAAACCAGTCTTTGCAATTAATACCAGCTGTGATTTATGTTGAAGTTTAATGCCAATAACTAAGGAAGCAAACTAGACAGAGCTGTGTCATGGCATCAATCCCCTTGGAAGTACACTGCAGTATTGGTGAGCCAGGTCCCATTACCTCCTTCCTTGCCTTCAGACAGCCACAGAAACTGAGCTTTTTGGTGAGCTGCATGACAGCAGATCTTTCTAGTGGCTGAGGCTGTTAGTGGCTCTGCCTTATTTATTTTAAGGCAGTCAAATACTTGTCTGCCTTATTGCCTTTGCCATTTCCCTATTTGTAATATAGTTGTGTCTTATGTACTCCTCATTCACATTAAATGCCAATTTTTATTGGTGTGCACAGGAACACTTACAGTTTATACCAGCTTTGCTTTCCAGTAGCATGTAGTATTGACAAAGAAATAGCTTACTGCACATGCAAATGACAGAGACAGATGTTGACGCCGGTCAGCCCCTAGCATGCTGAAGCCTCAGAAACAAATTTAATCTTGTTGCATCTCTTCCAATTCAGTTACTTTCGTTTGCAGACATTGATTTATTTTTTTTTTCTTCCTATAGTAGGAGATCAAAATGTAAAACTTGAGAGAGATTTTGTTTCAGTTTGCATTTCCAGGCTGTTTTCACTTGATTACAACAGGAAAAAAATAGCCTAGACCCTTAATTAGTACAAGACAGAAGTATTATCTCTCAAACATCAATTGGGAAGGGGGGGGGAATAGTTTCTGAACATTTCTTCTCTAGCAATGCTGTAACTGTGAAGGACACTGCTGGATGACTGCCATTGTTCCTGTAAATTCATTTAGCCCTTGTTATTTTGACAGTAAACTGACAGTGATTTGCTGCAGCATGCGTCAATTGGATTTGTCTACTGCAATAATGTATATAATAACAGGGCTTATTATTGATGAAACTGTGCTTGTGCTATTTAGTTTGCAAATGTCAGAGGTTTCTATGGTAATTTATTTAGGAAACTGTAAAGGTCATTTAAATGCTGCTGTTCAAAGATCAGCCTTTGATCATAGAAAATGTTCTTTTTTGTTTTTAAGAAGCCTCTTTTCCTCTTGGATCATGAACATTTAATTAAATAAATGGTGTATTCTTTCCAGAAATTTGATATATATAATTCAAAAGAAGGGGTAGGGAGGAGGGAAGCTGTTTATAATCCAGGTTTGATGGTACAATGTATTTGTTAGACGAAGGGACAGGATACATTTGGAACACTGAATTCTTTTCTTTATGTCACAGTCTAGTGGAGGAAAGACACTTAATAAAGTTTGAATGAAAAAGTGTATCTTCTACATTTGTATGGCTTTGCAACCTGTTCAATAGGCAAAAGGAGGCATTCCATTAGGAGAAGATACAAAGGAGTTTAAAAATAAATTCTCTGTGTTCTTTTAAATTCCACCAACAGAGGCATAACTTTGAAGCTAAGATCAGAGTTAGGTGTGGGGAAGCGTGAACTCTGTACCACTGACCCTTCTGCATCTTGCTTTATGAGCTTGGATTACCCCATGTGTGTTCTGCTTTTCTCATGCCCAGAATTTTGTGGTATGACTCGTGGACTTGCTGCATGATATATGTAACCACATCTCCATCCTGGATATCTTGGGTGGAATTAGCGGACACCTTCCTCACTGTAAAATGGACAGTTATAAATGAGTAGTCCTGGTAAAACACTTTGAAATCCTTTCACTGAAGGATTCCCTTAATGTTACAAGGCAGCACCAACTTACAAAAGAAAACCTCTCGCTAGTGTTCATATATATGTATATATGTGTAGTTGTAGTATTTGATATGTTTAGGGGCTCTCTGCTGAAATCAGATGATAGCCCGTTAAAATCTTGCCAATAATCTTCTAAGCTCTTGGAGAGCAAGTGAGGGCAACCTTGTGCAAGCAGCTGAGAGCATCCCTCACTTTCACATCATCGGTGCAACTGACATCGAACGGTCTGACTGGGTTGGTGTTTGCATTTGCAGAGTCACGTTCTAAAAGTGTGCAGTTGAATAATCACAGCATCTGTAGTACCAGATCATTTCCAATAATAAACATAGGGCAGAATAAAGCAGTGTGATAGCAATAATCATCTGTAGACGTGGCAGTCTTTTTTTTTACTTCTAGAACAACCGCTGATTTCTAAGAGCAGACAGATGTTCGAAAATGTAATATTATTTTTGAACATATGGGTTGGTATTTTGAAATAACATAAAATAACCTGAAATTCAACTCTGCAGTAGTAGCTAAAACATTCTGGCCTTTTTTATGAATTGACTTAAATGGAGCGTTAGTGAATAAAAGAGCAAACAAAAACAATGCCTGCATGTTAAGAGGGGAAAGCCTTTATCAAATTAGAGAGCACTTTTTAATTCTTTTCCTGGTTTCAAAATAAAAAAGAACTTAGGTTAACACATATTTGTATGGGATAGACTACATGAATTAGATGTTAAACATAAAAATTCTTGTTCCTTTGCCATGAACCCCTGTGGCACACTGTGGATATTAAATAACTATAGTGCTTTAGTCTGATGAAAAAGTTAGCAATTGAAGAAATAATTATCTGTATATACCTGTTAATTTTTCCTGAGGTTCCAGGCTTACATTTGTTAAAGATTGTTGTTTAAATGCATTAAATACACTGTTTCAAACTGTAATTGTATTTTATTGCCCAGGCTGAAGATGAAATTGCTGTCAAATCTCTTTCTTCCCTTTTTAGATCACGTCTCCATTGGAGGGCTTGGGGATAGCTTTTATGAATATTTGCTGAAGGCATGGTTGATGTCAGACAAGACAGATGAAGAAGGCAAGAAAATGTATTATGATGCTGTTCAGGTAAATAAGATGTTTAAATCTTCCTTTCCATAATAATCTAATCTATAATAATCCTAAAGAGACAGGCTCTGGGGACAATGTGAGGGGTTTATGGCTTTGCCACTACAGTGTGTTTTTTTTTAAAGAATTGTTTTCTCTTTTAAAAAGACTTCATCAAGTATAAATGCCAGATGAATACAGATACTGTGGGAAAGAGGAGAGTCTTGAAATATAGCTATTTTTTTTTCAACTGCTATACGATCAGTTGTCTCTGATACTGGAGGAGAAAAGTATAAAATATGCAACAAAAAACGCATCTACAGGTAGGTGTCAGATAGAAGTTCAATTCTTTTTTCCTCAGTCTTCCCTAAATATATTCCTTTTGTCCTTTTTCCTTATATCCAGGAGGGAGTTCCTCTCTTGTGTTTCAACTTCATATTTCAGCCATTAGAGTGTTTTGATTGTGGTCAACACAGAGATCAATATATTATGGTAGATAATTATAAATTAAAATAGATGGTTTTGTTGCACAATGACTTTTTGTTACAAAAAGAGGCATATATTTGCCAGTTTCTGTGAAACAGCCAATTATTTAAACTGGACAGAAGAGGAAGTTTTCAAAAATCAGAATTGTTCATACTTATATTTCTATGCGGTGTTTTATTTATGATCCTTCTAGCCTGCAGTTTGCTTTGTTATTGATGGCATTTCCTTAATATGCTGTTTTTTGAGAAATAATGGTTTTGTGACACCAGATTGAGACTTGAGAAGTATTAAGTTTAAATTCATGTTTACAAGCTTTCCTTCCAGTCTTGGGCAAATACCTATTTTCTCGGTTGTTTGCTTTCATATATATATATATAAAAATGAGAATAATAATACTTCTTTTTTCCCCATCCTTTCATCTGTTTTGACTGGAAGCTCTAGGGCCAGGACTTTTATCTCTTATTAACTGTATGTGTGTAGAGTGCCTCTGTAGACAAGGCTTCGAGATTCTAAGCAATATATCCTTATTCTTTCATATATCTGGAAATGCGCTGTCCCTAGGGAAGAAACATAAGTCTCCCTTTTTACTTTCCATACCACAAAAAGTGGTGACATTAAAAAAATACAACCCTGGCTCATCGCAACTATGGTTTTTTTCATTAGAAAGAAAAGTCATGATTTGAGGGAGGGTGCAATCTCTGGTGATAGTAAATTTGTCAGCCAAGTATCTTCTGCTAAGACAATCCTGCCTTTAATTTTGTAAGTGCAGATTTGAATGCAGTCAGCCTCATTTTCACGACTAACATGGTTTCTGCTTCAGAGCAAAAGGTGGATTTTAAATTAAGTTTGAGTGCATTTGAGGCTATAATGTAAGAACAGTGATACTGTAATAGCTCAGCCATTAGGTTGGCAGCCAAAAAGAGAACAAAGCATCTGATTACACGATATCAGTTCATCTTACCATGGAAGGCATTTTGAAGCACCTCAAAGTTGCTTCAGTCTTCTACTTCCACTGGTTTAATAATGTCAGGTTTTTCTTCTAAATACATTTTCACACAGTGTCAGCACTAGTGCATAGGTGCGTGCCATAACAAATGTGCTTTTGCTAGTGCAGCCATTTGAAACTGCTGCAGGTAGAATATCCCAAACGTTGTGTGACAATCGCCCTTGTTGGTGGGACCGTGAGCGCGTAGACTGCCATCCTGGTGGGGAGCAGCAGGGGCATGTTGGTCCCACCAGGAAACAGAGAGCCCAAGAGAGCCCAGTTCCTCAGTGGCCAGCGCTGGGCTGCTCCTGTGGAGGCTGGAGGTTTACCTTGCCCTGACTTGGGCACAGCTGAAGCAAGGTGCATCGGGAAGTCTCTCCTGCCTTAACATGTGTCTGCTGTCCCACACCAGTTTCATGGTGGCAGTGTGCCCAGGTGGCTCCTGAGCCAGCCCAGCCTGGCCAGCGGGTGGAGAGCTGCCTGCTGTCGGCTGGTCATCAGAGGAGGGGGCCAGGAGTGCCCCGAGGTGTGTCCGTGCAGGGTGCAGCAGCACAGCTTTGTTTAAACACACACCTTAGCTGTATAGCGATAACAGCCTCCTCAGGTACAAAAGTTACCACGGGGTTCTGGTGAGGAGCAGAAGTGGTGGTGACCAGCACACTACACGGCCAGTTCTCCCTGCTCGGGATTGAGCTGGGCGAGCAGGATTGCCTGGTCAGCAGCATCGCCAAATGTGGCAGTATCAATGATAGGATCTGAGCTCTGCTATATGCAACTGGATTTAAAGTAACTATTATCTTAATTTTTTTTAGTAATAATAGCTCTGAAGCAGTGCAAGCATGGCGACTGTCCAGAATGTCAGTGTTTGAGAGGGCCAAATGATCAGTAAATATGTGCTAGCTTTCACCTTGCTGTTGATTGCTATTTCCAGTATTTTCTGAGCAATGGTCTTCATGTTCTCTCTTCTCTATACTGAGGCATGTCTGTGCCAAAGCTGAGAGTGCACATGCAGCATGTGGAGGTAGAGGTTGGTGCTGTAATGTAGCTTGTTCAGAAAACAGCAGGGAAGTTGCAGTCTCACAGAAACTACAATCTGGTCAGGCCTCATTGAGATGCTAGGCTCTTCACTGGGGTAGCTAGCCTGTTTTGAAGTCCATCCTGATATTGGCTTTGTTGCTATCGATCCCTTACTTATCTAAATTAAAGCTAATTTAAGTGTCTGCACACGCTGCAGTCTTTCTTTATGACTAAGTCTACGCAGTTTGGGCATTACAGGTCTGCTTTGTGTTTCCTTAGATAAATTTCCCCTGACACTTTCAGAATCTTTTTAAGATTACACCAAAGGGAATGGCATGATTATTCCTGGCCACTTGGTCCAGCACATACCCACCAAATTCTGAAAGAGCGATGTGAAGGTTTGATGCCTAATTCAATATCTTCTGCTATCCAGAAGCCACAAATTAAAATATGCGGTGAGTTATAGTTCACTGTGAAAAGCATGAAGTTCAAAGATAAAGCTTTGGGGTTATTTCTTACATTGTTCTGTAACTCGTATTAAAAACAAAGAGTTCTTCCTATTAGAATTTTTGTCATATCTATGGATTGGTTTATGGCTTAAGTTAAAAGCAATAACTAAGATGTCAAACTAGAGTTAAAAAACCTTTTCTGCTTGCCATGAATAAGATGCGTATTCAGCTGTGCTGTTTAAAGAAGAGTTTATTTCTAATGGGAAAAACGACAGAGACAGTCTTGTTTTGAATACCAGAGTATAATATTGATGTGTTTTTAAGACCATCAGATGTATTCCTAAACTCTAGTATTTGCACAAAAAGACAAGTGATTGTATTTTTAATGCAAGTTATTTTTCTCTTTTGCAAAGCAATGCATATAATATCCTGTTTCACATAATACAAGAAGAGATCTTAAACTGGTTTCAGTGGATAGCATGCAACATTTAGTTACAAAACAAGTGTGTGTTCAGGTTTTAATCATATTTTGAGGATGTAACTGCCCATAGAATAATCTATCGGTCTTTGCAAGTATGCAGGACAGGAACCATCCCACTCTTTTCAGTGAACACATTTGATCTCTGAGACACAATTGAGTAGGTTCAGTAAGAGAACATGATAACTTAGAGCAGAAATGGACCTCATGGGTTCACTTATGTCTAGTCTAGCAACTGCAGTGCCACAAGCAACTGCATCAAATCCTCAAATGTGTTAGCCGTCATTTTCTAAGTTGAAGGGCGATTTTCACACTGCTCCTACTGATAGGTTGTCTCACACTTGATGTCCAATGGTCAGGTAACTTTACCAAATTTCCTCATTACATTTAATTATGGCCATTACTGGAAGCTTTCTGCTTCTTAAATATTTCTACTTTCTCTCTCTGATGCTGCCTCAATCCCCTCCTCAGTGTATTTCTAGAGAAGTGGCATATCTAAAGGTATAAAGAGAGCAGTAGCTCTGCCCAGAACTTCACAGGAAGAGGGAGAATCCCTCGCCAGCACTTCCCAAGCAGCTTGTTCAGTTCAGCCCACGGTGGCCCCATGGTAACAGAGACATAAAGCTACTGCGATCTGCAGTTTTACCTTTAGACAGAGTAGTTTACTTTTAGACATTTAGACTGGCCTCAGGATTTTGAGTATTCAGACAGCAAATATATAGGATATATATTTTTTTATTTTTTTTTTTTGGCACATTGCTAACTTTTGAGACTAGCCTTGATCTACTGAGTTTGTACTCTGCCAAAAGAAGCTATGTGGTTCTGATTTTGTTCTGGGGTTTTTTCTGGTGTATTTAATTGTCAGTGTTAAGTAGTGAATATTTTTCAGAGCTGTCAAGATTTCATCCTTTCAGATAAGTAAAACAAATCCATGTAGACTTCTTTCTCATTGAAATAAGGGAGAGAACAAAGTGTTGTTAGTAAACTGAGAACATGATATTGGCAGATAGGCCCTTTTCATCTCCAGAGTTTCGTGAGGGTCTATTTAACTGTGGTGACAGTCTGGTGGCTGGTCTGTGCTGATTGCATTTTCCATTAAGTTGTTTGAAGTGGTTTGCTTTGTGATCGCAGTGATCCTAAAAACTTCATAACTGATGCGGACAATGACAGAACTGCAACAACTCAGAATAGTTTGTCATACTGGGTAAAGCCAGAAGTATATTAATGAATTGAATATTCAGTATTTGAACACTTGTTGGCATTAAAGGAAATACATAAATAGGGCAGGCAGGGTGGTGCAATAGGAGCCCATCTTTAAAATGAAACAGTTGGTGCAGGGGACCCAGCATTCTCTCTGCATACTTTTCTTTTTTGGGGGGAGGAGCAGGGGACCAGGTATTGTCTATAACTTAAATGTGTAAAACTGCAGAAATATGCAGTTCATTTACATATTTTGTCGGTTGTCATGTTTAAAATACATACCACCCAGCTGCACTGGTGTTCTGCATGTAGCGGTAGTATAGCTGCATTATGTAGGAGCACAAGATGAGAACACTTAACAGATGAGAACATCCCAAGGACTCAGTACTCCTTTTTATTCTCTTCA